GGTACATATGAAAAGCTTTAATCATATACCAATTTTGTATATGAATAGGTGTTCAGAAATAAATTTTGTGGAAATCGTCATTTATTATAAATATTTTATATAATTTCGAAAAAGATTATAAAATATGTGACAGAAATTTTTTTTCCATGATGACTGTATCTGAAATGGAAAGAATATACGAAAATATAAGATTGGCTAATAAAATAAAAGAAAATAAAAAATTGTTGGTAAAAATTTGCAAAAAAAAAGACTTGTATACATCCGTAAACATTTCCAACACACAGATAGTAATATTGTATGAAGAATGGTCATGTCCGTTTTAAACTCCTGGTCATGATGATGAAACCGATTTACCTATTTTGAATTATTTTTTGTGTGTATTTACATCCATAGTTATTTGCTTCTAAAAGACTTGATTAATATAATTTATTAGTGAGCAATATTGTTTTGAATAATAAGACATAGTACAGAGATCATTGTCACTGTGACGATAGTTTAATAGAATTTTACTCCCTTGTAATATTATCAAATTTTTAATTTTTAAATGATATAATAATTTTACTTTTAAAATGTAAGAGTTACGTGACCATAACTGCCCGCATAACATGGATCTTAGCCAATATATATAAACTATTACACTGTAAATAAAATAAAACAACCATAATAAGGTACACAGAAGTTAAATTTTTATTAAACATTGGAAAATATCAAATCCTTTTGTCCGTTTTTTTTTCTTTTTTAATTAATAATTCAGATACATTGAATGGAGTTTGTACATTAAAAATGATCAAATATGCAATAACATTAAGTAGAATTTTTTCCATACATATTAACACATACATAGATAATTATGCTAATTATAAATGTTTAATAAATTTATACGCTATAAAGTCGTTTGAACGATATATTTTAAATAAGTTTTACATTTTTATTTGAAATTACTTTATTTTGTTTTGTATGTGTGTAAAAGTTTTCATTTTAAAATTTTTTTGTTTTAAAAACTTATTTTTAATTTTTGTTATTATTCGTCATATTAAACAAAATAATTCTTTCAACGATTTTCATCTGGTAGTATCAGTTAAAAAAAATATTTCCTTTTATTTGTTTTAAACAATTTTTCTATTTAAAATATTATTATTCTAAAATGTAAAACTGGACTCTGTTTTTTTTTTTGTTTTCGTTTTTAGACATTTTGGTGTTTTGTTGTTAATTATAATTAATAGTAATTATATTATACATAAATGAGAAAACAAAAAGTCATCAACTTAATAAAACTTATTTAAAGTAATTAACATAATTAAAGTATATAATATAATATTAAGGAAGACAGCGTAAAATTTAATCAGTTTCAAAATAAATAAATGCTGCATTTGTAAGCTGCTCTTGTATGTAAAATAAATAAATAATTTTTAAATATATTTATACAAAAATTTATTTTTTATTTCTTAACAATTATAAAATTTGATTTGTATTTTTGAATATATTCTTCTTTTGTTATATTAATAAATATAAAAAATAATACATTTTAAGATATGCAAATAATTTCTAGTAACGTGCGTCAGGAACTTTTCTTTAAATTAAATTATTTTTTTGAAACATTAACTTTTATATATTTTTTTGATTTATATATTATAAATTGGGTTAATTGAAAATAGAGTTGTTCAGGCTGATAGCTTAGACGTCAGTCATATGAATAATATAGGACGTGAGAAATATTAACAACTAACATAAGACGAACCAAAATTAAGTATGAGTACTATTCTTTCAAGACGAATTTTTTTTTATTGATAAGAAAAATACTGAGAATTTGATATTATATAAGGTTTATATCTAATACTGTTTAACGTAATAATGGATGAAAGTATAAACACAGCATGAGGTATAGAAAAAGAGATTTCAATATTATTCTAAAAACTGTATCGTCTTCTAACGAAGAGGTTCTAATATCACATAACAATCATTATTTTCAATTGCTATTATATAGCTATGAAATTAATCGAAAAAATATATATGCATATGTACAATATATAGCATAAGTGGGTCTACATAAAGAACTTAAAAATATATCCACACAAAAAATAGCTTTGCTGACAGAAAAATTTTTGTGAATACTTGCACAATAAAAAAATGTTTACGCTTACTTACATAGAAAGATAGGCAAGCTTCAGTTTAGACCAGTGGTTCTCAACATTTTTTGGACCAAGGACCATAGGTATAAGTGCATAGGTAATTGCATAGTTATAAAATAGATATATAATTACTTGAAAATATTTTGTGATTATTTTCTAATAACTGAGGTCTCATTGGACAATCTACAAGCTATATATCCATACCTGTTAAATTTGATTCACGAACCATTTTTAACCATCTCGCACACCACCTGTTGGAAACAACAGGTTTAGATCTTATAAGAACAATCGAAAGATAGCTAGGTAGAAATGTGGACTTGCTGACTTTGATTTGAACCAAAAAAAAAAAAATAGATAACAATCGAGTTTATGGAAGTATATTTAGCAGCGGTGATTAGGCACTCAAAAGTTGCTTAAAAATCATTGAAGCAGTTGTTGGTAACAAGTTCTCGAAAATTTAATTCTTGCCTATTTAGGTATGTGATAAAATAAACGTTGAGCATATAAGTTTTATATATTTTTGGTTTAGGCATATCCAAACAAGTCGATTTGAATGAGACTGGTTAACAGTAACATATAGTTCCCTCACTCCTTTCGCAAGCTATCTTTTTTATGTGAATAAAATCATATCTTGATTTGAAATAAGTTAGCATCATTGCTTCAAAGTATAACAATAATTTGATTTCCTTTTTGATATAAATTAAGAACCTTTTATATGATTGAAATGGACGATTTTATGGTTACTTATTGCAAAAATCCCATATAAGATGCAATATATAAGATGCGATTTTATGGTTACTTATTGCAAAAATCCCATATAAGATGCAATATTTGATGACAGCATCAGCTCTAAATCAAGTTCTATGAGCTTCACAAATGTGAAGGATTTTTTAATGTCGACATTTATTTTATTAAAGAAATCCATAGATATGTTTTTTTATCAATAGAAGTATTGCATTTTAAACATTACATTTTTCTAACAGCTAATACTGGATTCATATGAGAATTTCAATAAAACTCTCATGTGGTTCCAATATTAGTGTCCCAATGTAAGAAATATTAAGTTGGTAGTGTGAAATATAATCCAAGCCTTTTGTTTTTAAACTCATTAAATGTATAAACTATAAACTTTTTCTTAAAATATTTCTTAATTATTTCAAATGTGCTTATATGAATGTATTGTATATACTATATATAGGCCTTTTCAATATCGTATTTTTGTATTTGACAATATCTATCTTTGGGTAGATATTGGTATAAATGGTTGCAAAAAACAATGAATATTTTTCGGGCCTCTACTATGGTTTGGGTTGAGAAACACTGGTATATACTATTTTAACGTTCATATGAGATTTGATGAGTTATAGTTATGGTACATTAAAGCTGATTTTGCTTATGCCTTACTTGTTAGATTAGAAACAGATATTGGATCCACATTGTAAATTATAGACGGTAACAACCAATTAATGATTTACTCAAGCAGTTAATGTGAAAAAATTATTCAGAAAACATTACTATCAATAATGGAAAAAAAATTTTTCTTTCCTTAAATAAAAAAATTCTCGATATTTTTTGCACAGAAAGCTTTCTGCAATATAAACTTCAACTACAGCAATTTATGCAGAAAATCTAAAAAAAATTAAGCAATTAAGATATATGTGTATGGAGGCGACTATGAACTCTATCACATAGTCGTAGAACTATGGTAAACCACAATTATATTTAAAAATGTAGTCAAGGATTGTGTAGCGTTTAATATATTTTAGTATTTCTGTCTGAATTGAGTTTTCTTGACCGAATTAATTATATAATGAAATGATAACTTTACATAAAAAAACCTGAACAACATTTATAGTAATAAAATATAGATTACAATAATATTTAAGAACTATAATAATTTTAACAAATAAATTAATATAAAATGTGCATTCGAGATGAGAATATATTACATGCAGGTATATTTGTTTTATACTGAAATTGAGTTGCATTTCAGGAATTTGTTTATAAAATTTCTCAGTTAAGAAGATTATATACTAGAGGTCATTTGCTTAACGTTGTATCTTTAAATGTGTTATGTTCCCATTTATTTAATATTTTTATCAATGTACGTTTTTCTTAAATTGTAGTTATCTTAATACAATAACGTGATGATTTGGAATATGTTTATATTATTTATGAATATATATTCCTATTCAACTGGATGAGATGATTCGATTTCGTTATGTGCATCTGTCATTGTGTAGATGAATTTTCGAAAAACATTTTTTCAGTTTTTGAAATAACCGAAAAAATAATGCACAAAGACTATTGCTTTGGTTCGTGAACATTTGTTAGAAATCAGTTGACTATATTTAACAGCTGTTATACAAACTGCACATTTGAAGTTGAATTGAATTGAATTTAATTAAATATATATATACATATAATATGCAATATTTTTACTTTATGTTTAAAATAAACTATTAGTCGAGGTTTGGATTAGTTGATGTCATACAAACTAATGCTTGATATGCAGTATATTATAAGAAAAATCTCTAGCCTTATAGTATACCATATATAGCTACCATGATCTGTTTATTTTATATAGATGTTACCATAAGAAAAAATTTTAATTTAAAAACTAAAATTATAAGATAAATATAATTCCTGTAAATTTTAACTATTAGTGCTGATTTCTATATAGTTGCCATATAAATAGATATATACATAAATATATAGATATACACATACATAGTTATATTTGGATTAAAATCACCGTAAAATATTTCGAATCATTTTACACTAGATATAATGGATTTTTCTTTAAATAAATATTTTATATGAACTTTGAATTCATTTTCAAAACTTTTCTCTAAATGAGTTCTCAACTTAATTTTTTTGAATTCTTAACAATTCTATATGAACTTTTTTAAATTCGAAGCTAACTTATGCATTTTTTCCTGTTTATATCTGAGGATGTCTTCATTGTTTGAAATAAAATAATCTATATATACAAGAAATAGTTAACCCAGGCACAGATTTTTATTTAAATTATATTTAAGATTTAAGAGAAACATATGTTGAAACACTGAAACAAACGTCAAACTGAATATCTGATTATTATCGGATTATACGGTTCTGAAATGCAACTCTGTATCAAGAAATTTTGTATATTGTTTACACATTTATATAAAATACTTATAATTATTCAATTCGATTCGATGGTGTTGTTTAAAAATATATATGTACATTATTATATTTAAACTATGGTTTATAAAAATATAGATATACTATTTTTTATATATTTTTAATTTATGTTATTTATTTAACTAATGGCCGCTCTATGGCGTTTTTGTAGTGGGATATAAAACTATTTGTTCTTCTTTCTTTTTGTTAAAATTATCTGTAATTTTATATTTAAAACCAACGCTACTGACGCAATTTAAAATCTCGATGAATAGTATTTTAAGATACTTTGTTATTTGAAGGTCAATTTTTAGAAGCACTTTTTGAAAAAGTTCATAAAGCGGAAAAATCTTGCGAATAAAGTACGTCTAGTGCGTGGGTTTGTTGTTATTCATGCAGCTGAAAAAAAAAATAAGTACACATATTTAAATAGTTTGAAAATATAATAATTACAGGAAAAATCAGCTTAAAACATTTTAGAGATACCAAGAAAGTAGAGTTAAAGCAAACTTAACTTAAAAATCTGTGCATAATTTAAATATTTATAATAACAGTGATGAAATAAAAAAATAAATGAAAAACTATAGTCAGTAGGTGAGTTAACTTCACCTTATAAAACTTACGTTTTATAAGTTAGAATAGCTTACATTTTTAGATATACTAATTACTATAAACATGCATAAACGTGCAATTTAGTGTATTTTGTGCTTTTTTAATATAGAAAGAAATACATATATAGAAATATATGTATAAATATATTGAAACAAAAGAATATATTTGTATACATTAGTATATCAGAAGTATATTATGCGCAATAATCAATTTTAAAATGAAGTAGTTTATTTAGGTATTTTATGCGGAATGTCAAAAACTAAACCATATGTTTTGATATTTAATAACATGAAAAATTAAATGTTAATGATATAATTTAATAATCCATACATTTTTCATGGAGCGTACATTTACCATATAGGATCACACAATAAATTTAATAAATAAATCAATTTTTTTTATAATAAATAAAGGACCGATGTTTGCTGACCTTCGTTTTTAAATTTTATAAAACTGTCTTCTGGATTTCTCTTATTAAAAAAATAATGTGCAGAGGAATTTATGGAAAACATATTTGAATAAAACACTGAAGTGATTGTCATTTCACACAGAGAAATATATGACAAGCGATATAATTTTTTAATTTGATACATATATAAATTGTATAAATGTATTACAAATGTTTATATACAAAGGAAGTGTAGTTTAGTATGGAAGTTATTAAACTCGTATCGAATGATCGTAACTTTAAAGCAATTAATCTCTTACTATAAAGGATCTACCTACATTAACATAGTTCATATCCTATACTGTTATTATTTATTCTACGCTTTGTTGGGCACTTAAAAATCGGTATTTCATATTTTTGATATATTTGAAAAGATATATCAATAGAAACATGCATTGATAATAATATTACTTTAATGATTATTATTTATCACAACATATAAAGATAAAGAAAGAAAAAATTAAAAATACCTCAACATCAATTACTAAAGTATTTAAGTCAGACACTATAAATGTTCTCATGACAAAGTGGACTTACTTTGTTGTGGTTTTTTTTATTTTTTCCAAAGATGCGAACATAACATCGAAATTGATTTAATATCGCATGAAGTCGAACAATAGCGGCAGTGACAAAACCTGCAGGAATAAAAAATAAAACAAGAATAAAAATTAAGAACGGCAGCAAAGATAATGCCAGAAGTTAAAGAAGGCAGTAAATAAAACAAAATAATAGTGCCGTTAATGTAATGAGTTTCTGTAGAAATCCTCTATATAAACATTTCAACATTTGCAATGTTAATTAAAAATATTAGAGAATCGACGACTAACTTCAAATACAAGTATATTAATAAATGTATATAAACAACGACAGCAAGAGCAATCTTAAGTCAGTGTTATATCTCATTACCTAAAGGATCTTAGTCACCTGAAAGACGACCTTTTAAAGAACAACTTCAACTTTATTGAAGGCTTAAATTATTTTTAAACATAATTGAATATAAATGGCGATCTAACCTATACGATCATTATATAACACATATATATCATTTTATTAATAAGTGATTTAAGTAACGAAATTTTCCATTTTGTTCGTTAAAGTTATGAAGTTCTTAAGTTATTCCAAAAAAAAAAAAAAACAATAAAAAAGAAAGCAAAGACTTATTATAAGAATATTGGTAGGTTAGGAGAATGTGGCAGTCAGTTCGATTGACTAACCCAGTTAGACACATTGTGATCTAGCTGTTTAACACGGGATCTTAACTGTTTTATTTGGGGAACAACTTTGAGATTCTTGTAAAAAATATTGTTAGATTTGGATGAAGATTTTAATACAGCTCTTGAGATAATAAGAACTCTGTCAATAAACAATTTATATAAAATATATTTTAATTTTTTAGACATATTTCAATATTTCTTCGTAAGAGAAGGGATAGTAAAGTAAATAAAAATTTTTAAATGAGTTAATAAGTAAAATTGTCTTTCAATAACTTAGCGAAGAAAATAGATTGAATACCCAAAAAATGTGAACGGCAGAGTTTTAGAGGAAACTCGAATAACTGCGGTGAGTTTGACAGTTTGCTTTTTAAAATAAACTGACAGGAATGTTATGGCACTCATACACATTATATATATTATCCTTTAACCTATAGCTACCAAACAAGAAAGCTAAATGTGTAAATTAAGCGAACTACAGCAGTCTGTAGCCACAGGATTTACAAGGAATCCAAATTGAAACCAACATTTTAAAATCCCAATTTTATATTTGTTTTTTAAATAATTAAATAAACTTTGGATCCGTAATTGAGAGAGTGAACAGTTAAGATCATTGAATTAGGTTATTGTTAGCAGATCTTATTAGTATTTACTCTATTTGTATTTAAGGTTAAAAATTAAAAAAAATTAATAATATTAAAAAAAAATTTGATGATATAGAAAAAAAAACAATAAATAAAATGCTTTTAATATAAATTATTTCCCTTACACTGAACTAATGTTAATTAGATATATATATATAGCTTTAAGAAATTTACTATGCGAAAAAAAATCAACAATATTTTTAGGTTATAATCACTTTAAACAGATAAAGACTACCAAATATCCACCCCAAATAAATAACTGGATATAAAATGTAAGTCAATGTATAGTGTGCTTTCGATAATATTAACATCCAAGTTGTTTGAAAATCTTCTTTCGACAGGCACTAAGCATCTTGTGTCGAAAGATAAAATAAATATATTATTCTTTGAATTTAAAGCAATTAAGTACTTTATTAGTGAAGATAAAAATCCATAATCCAAAACATTACCTCAATAATTTAGATACAAAATTATTACATTTGTTCTTCTTCTGTTCTAGTATAATAGCAATTTTCTAAAATTCGTTTGCAAAAATAACAGTTTAATGGTAAACTTTATATTACAATAAGTATTTCATTTTAACGATAAAATAAATATCTTATTTGCTGAATTTTTACCAAATAAATGCTTATTGGTATACATAAAAGTCTATAATCCAGATATTTCGGTACTTCGAACAACTCTTGACACATAATTGTTTGAATTATCGAGAGCATACTGTTATGGGTTACAATTTAATTTAATTTTATAATGACAATATCAAACTAAACTGTTACATTTAGCTGACAACATATTATTTATTTGATAAATCCAAAGGTTTTAAATCACTCATAAAAGTGAAGAAACAGTCCACTTGTCAAAAAAAAATCGGATCAACAAACTAAAGTGAATTTTCTGCAACATAGCGTAGAAGAAACTATGTCACTAAACTTTAAATATTATTGATTGGGAAATTTTAGTTGTATAAACTAAAAAAATTTATTTATTTGTGAGTTAACATTAAAATTAATTTTAAAGTTAGCTAAGAATATGGAACTGGACTACTAGGTCCTTCGCCCTTAAAACTAAAATAATTTAGTAATCAAAATGAGAGATTAAAAATTAAACTTTAACAAAATACATAGTAAATTCAAAATTTTTTTCTACTTGTGTTAATTTAACCACAATTTATTGAGTATATAATTTATTAACAATTATAAATTTTACTCTGAAAATTATAGCACGATTCCGTGCTTTCGGACACGTCGATTTTAGAACAGATTTCAATATCTTTCAAAATTCTGAGCAACTTTACGTACTACGCTATATAAATATTATAGATTACGTTATAGATATAGATGTAGATTATCGATATGTATATAGATTATAGATTTCTTCTAAAAATATCAACATATGGCATTGAACTCTGGGGAACTGCTGCATCTTCAAATATTGTGATTATCCAACGTTTTCAATCAATAACCCTTAGATTAATCTTAAATGCTCCTAGATATAAAACAAATGAATGTATACATCGCGATCTCAACATTCCCGTAGTTAAGGATGTTATAAAAAGCCAAGCCAGTAAACACAAAAAACGTATGTTACATCATCCTAACCACTTTATGAGCAGAATGATAGCAGAAGGAAGAACATTCACACGCCTCCGCAAACAAACGCCACTGGAACTTTAATGTGTCCGACTCCAAAAGACGGAGTACAGTCCCTTCAAGCTCACAAAAATTTTAAGTATTTAATCACTTTTAACTATTGTTTATTGTCTATTCCGAATTGACAGATCGCAATATAAGAAAATAAATTTAAAAAAAATAAATACCAAATCCACGTCTAACGAAATTAACATTTCGTTAGTGATCATTTCCAAGGTGATGACAATTCCCATTTGCGATTACCAAAAATCGTTCCTGGACAGACGAAATACACATTTTGTTAGTAACCGTACAAGGCGTGGCAAAACTTTACATTTCTATCACGAATCCATTGATTTCACAGCGGAAAAACCTAGATTTTAGTAGCAAAACTTCTGTCTACATCATACGTCATACCATCGCAAACTTTCCACTGCTCCTATTAAATAAATTTATTGTAGGACTGAACCTAGAATCCGGCGAGCGAAAGCTCGGCGAATAAGATTGGTTACAGTATTTATCAATAATATAATTTTGACAATTACTACACCCCTTATCTAGCGGCAACTAGTATGTTAACATTGATTAATACTTTTTCAATTAGCTGCTATTACTAAAATCCGTTATCAAATGGGCGTGCCCCGGAGATTGGAATCGTACCTAAATGATTTGTAAAGCAATTATTCGCATTAATGATTTAAACTTTAAGAATATTCTTTTACTAAACAAATTTGTAAAAGCAAATTAATAAGTAATTAACAGTGGGCAACCACTAACACGTAATAAGCAAAAAACTTAATAACGCATATAAATATGTATGTTAAAAATGTATAATATTATAAGTAAATTTTATATTTGAATTTTATGTCAAATATTTTTGGCAAAATTATGTTTTGCATTAGTGCAATAATTAATAATATTAATAATGTTAAATAATTTTAAATGCATTTAATGTGCTTAACTCAATAACATATTGTGTATTTTTTGCAATTATTTGTGTTATATCTTGCTTTTAATATAATTATGAGATAATAAATTTTTTTTTAAATTTTGCAAATGTTTATGTCATTTTCTTGGCAACATTAATAATAGCTACAAATAAATTTAGTGTGATGGACTATCGGTTGATCGATGTTTGACACGTGCTTTGCTGCAAGATGCACGGCGGAGAGAACTAACACTGCCGCCAAGAATATCATGTTCTAATGATTCCGATGAGAACGCTAAAGCATTTAGAATATATAATAAAAAATAGTAGATAAGGAATACGCATATTCACAATTTGCAAAAATTACATTTTTTACAGGTTTTAAAAATAATTATATTTTACTTAATATAATATTCTTATTTGTTTAATTTAATTAAAATTTTTAATTCGGTTTAGTGCAATTCACTATAGGTTCAACAAAGAAAATTGAAATAATTAAAATTTAAATAAATAATAATAATAATAATAAAACCGAATTATAACTAATTGAATGCTTCGAATAATAAATATAATTAATAAAAGAATTTGAAAGCAATTTCTTTGGTTTTAATTTACTTGAACTAACTTCTAAAAAAAAGCAAATTCAAAACTAAATTAAATATATATATTGTTAATAACTAGCGCGCTCTACTTTGATATAAGTTAATTAAAAAATATTAATATGAAATTAAATTCAGTCAGAGTAAATTATATACATATTTATATTCACCCTTATCTGTTGGCGAGCCTACTGTTAGGCTGCTGAGACTGGAACTTAAGATATTAGGACGCAGAGGTGGTGGCATTGTTATGATTTCATCACCAGGTAAACAAGTATCCACCATGGCTTCCAAGCAATTTACAAATAACTCGGATGACTCACCCATCATATTGTACTGAACAGTATAAAAAAATGTATAAGTAATATAGAAAATAACACATTATATATATCAGTTACCTTAGTGAATGGACCTGCGAAACGCCATAAGCCACCAAATCCACAACTCTGTAGAAAGTGTAACTGCTGCTGTGAAGGATCCTCGCTGGCCAGCATATTTTGTATTATACTTTGTACTGAATTAAGCACAACTTGATCATGAGACATTGATAAAATGTTGTTGATTTTTTGATCCAATAGTGAATGGCTGAAAGTATAATGAAAACAATAATAAATGTATAAATAAATGATTAAATGTAAAAATTGAATGTAATAGTAATATCTGACTAATTACAATTTTTAGTTAGACCTTATAGTTGTCTCAGTTATTGCCAAATATGCATCATTGTAGATCTATAAAAACTATTTTCACTTTACACACTTTGTTTGACATATACAGAAAGTTTTGTACCAAAAGGCTTTAACTTTAGGAACTGATACCTTAGTTCAAAAAATAAACAAAATTGTAAGAAAGGAGCTGTGTATTTTGAATATTCATTGAAATATTGATCTAAAATACTTGTGATATGTTTAATATATAAATTAACTAGCTATATGCATAAATCAACTGATGCCAATGAAAACAATGAAAACCTAATTTCATTAACATAAGCAGTTTAAGCTGCAGTGGAAACATGATATAAAAATCGATTCAATTTTGGTCATGAAAACGAGCGATTCTGTATTCATGTTTAAAAAAGTGTGGTTTACTAATAATTGACAGAGTTTGCGGATGGTAAGTGCAAATTCGATTATGAAAATGTATAAAAATAGTAATAGCAGTTTCATATTAATTATTGGGAATTTACTGTCTGTATAACATACCTTTATTGTAATAATCAAATAAGTACTTAAAACTGAAGTGATCATTTGTCTTATGTCATTTGCCTTTTTTTAAATGGTTTCATTCTAATACAACAGATATTTTGAGAAATTTCCGTTCGATTTATACATTTTCGAAGATTGAAACATCAACGGGATTGATAAACGGAACATGTGAATTCTAAAAAAGTGGCTCCAGAAAATAAATTCGGTAGCTGATTTTATTTAATTTATATTTTATTTAACTTAATACCTCTGTGGTTATTAATATTAATGGAATTTATAACATTTTTTACATACATATATATATTTTTGAAGATTAAAGTTTTAACAAAAACAATTAAATAGAATTGTCTATGAAAACTCAAACAATTTTCTTCTCTTCGCTGTTATAGTTGTTAGGTGTGCTCATAAGTTTGCTGCTCAAATCGCAGAACATTTCTATTGTATTTCAACTTTCCCATTTAAGCAGTTAGATTTGTGCTAAAATGCGCAGCTCAAATCACCGCACCATTCTATTACATTTCAACTCTCCGCTTTTGGAAGTAGCACCCATAAATTTCTGTTGCTATGTGTGCGCAATAGTTGGCTGCACATGGCCGATCACGGCATAAATGTGTATGACTTTGAGTACAGAGTCTTGTTTAAAAAAGGTGCTTAGATGTTGTAGAAGAACCACATATCCTACCAGATACATCACACGTCATCACTGAATATATGTGCTCATGTACAGTGTTTATTTTTGAAACAGTTCGATGCAAAAATTTGTACTCCGTTACTTTCTCAAAAATAAGAGGATAAAAAAAGAAAAATAATATAACTCTGGAAAAAGCATAAGAATTGCTTTGATATAGAACATTGTTTTCTAATTTGCCAGCATGATTGTATACCGGAAAAATATTCAATGTGTTTTTCAAGAACTGCTAAAATATTTAATATATTTTGTACGGACCACTATTTCTACTTTCCGAAAAAGCAATATTGTTAAAGGCAAGAATATTATATTTTACGGATCGGTAATGCTTATACGCACTTTAAGTGGTCCTGCGGTTAAGAAATCTTTTAGTAGTAGTTTTAGTAGATATTAAACATAATGAGTAATGCAGTCTTTTTCAAGGGATACCGGGATTAACACATACATATGATGTTATTTGAGGTTAAACATTTATTTTTTTTACAATAAATAATACTTACATAACTGGAAACACTTTTGGAAAGACAACAGAACCTTCAGCTAAATACTGATATAAAACTCTTATTTCATTTTCATCAGATGAATATTTAACTAGGGTTGCCAACACTGTAAGAACTAAAGCCTGCGTTGACAGTTCTGGCAATACTTCAGGATCGAGTAAAACATTTGATTCGTTGGAAACAGATGACCGAGAACCGCGTTCCTAAATTTAATTTCAAAAGTTAAAATTATTTAAAAATTGATTAATTTTTTTCTACTTTATCACTACTTGAAGAGGAAAAGAAGAGTTTTTAAGCAGTTACAACATAAGAAATTAATACATTAATTTCATAACAAGGATGCAAGCATGAGTGTGCAAATTTTTTGTGATTTAAATGTGTTAAGTGTGCAGATGTTTTCGTTTTTATTTTATTTATATTTTTTTGTTAAAATATTTCTATTAAAAACAATATCGTCAAAATTAATAAATCAAAAAAATTTAGTTAAGCATAAAAATTATAAATGATATTAAAGCTATACCCACAGAAAAAAGTTTTTTATTTTTCTAAAGATTTTTAAAATGTTTATTTTCATACGATTTATTTTTGGTTAAAAAGGAATAATATCCTCTGTTATTGCTATTTATATTGCTTCTCCCAAAAAAAGGGGTACACGTTGACATTCACCCAATTCACTAAAGTAATTAAGCAAGAATAAGTCTGATGAATACGAAATAACTGATTTTCCTAAAAAAATTGGTAGTTATAAAGTATAACCAGTTAAGAATATTTTTAAAGTAAAAGCAAGTGATAGGTTCTAATAACCTTCTCTTTAACTTTAACTTCCCAATATGTAGTAACTTTATAAATTCCGAAAAATCAATTTATATTTAATAACATTTCAAGTAAAATTTTGAGATGTGTTTAATAATTGTTTGATTCACTACTTCACTATTTTAGCTTAAAACTATTTAATAACATTATGTTATTGGCCAATACCAATGTTACCAATTTTACCAACAACAATTGATAACAACCACTAATCATCAGATGTTTATACTTTGCAAGCGATGAGCTGTCAAATAACAGTGTGTTAGCAGCAAGCACATACATCTTAGAAATTACCAATAGTGAAGTAAGCAGGGTATACAAGGGTTAGGAACAAAGGACGTTTTTAGACTTCTCTTATGATTATGTTCTGCATTGAAACGAACTCAGTTGGGAAGCTGAAATATATCATTTCAGGAATGGTATTTTATATGATACATACTAAAAGTCTACATTTGATTTAGCACCATCTAGTAACATTACAGACCAATCAGTACATGTTTGCTCACTTCCACCAAGGTTAACAACTTAACCTAATCTATTTACAACAATATTCGAGCATGTTAAAAATTCAACTACAAAATAGTTCTACAGTACAATTATTGCAGTTTCTGTGTCTCTTTTTAGAACTCATAATGCAGATTTTGTTGTAGCTTTTAACGAATGATATAGATTTGTGTAAAACTTGATTGGTACTGATTAAATAACAAATGACAATCTCAGGACGAAAGGGATTGAAAAATATTTTGTTTGTAATCAAAACTATTTGGTTGGTGCAAATATTTATATTTGCCATTTATTAGTATCACGAAGTTACTATTATTAATTATTAAGTTATTATTATTTAATTATTTATAATTAATAATTTATTATTTATTTATTATTATTTAATTATTTATAATTAATAATTTATTATTTATTTATTATTATTTATTGCAATAAGGAATGTAATCGATTGAAAGCTTTTATATCATATGCAATTTTATACGAAATTTTTATAAAATTTTTTTTAGTCTTCAATTTAACGCATGCAACTCAACCAGATCCGTAAAAGATTTTTAGGATACTTTACCAATTTAATATAACAGTAAATGATATTTGATGGATTGGAATATTTTATATCATTTGGAACTTAACACAGATTTCAAGAATATTCAATAAATTTAATATTAACTATAGGATATTTGACATATTGGAAACTTTTATGTTAAATTACACCAACCACGAAAAATATAAGGCATATACAAATTTAATATAAAATTAAATGGTAACTGTATAAAACACTTTTTGATTAATGGTGGGTTGAAGGAAGCAAAATTTTTAAGATAAATCACATTTCCCTACAACATTTAGATATTTTAAAAATAAATTGAAGTCATTCCTTAATCTCAATTATAAAACATATTAGCATAAATTAAGAAAAATTTAAATAATAATGTATTGAACACTTAGAAAGTTGTGCAAAATTTTGTAGCTTAAAAGTATTTCAATAAAATTATTTAAAGAACATCGAAAAAAAGAATACCTGACGTTCTTCGATGCCGCTCGAATTATTCGGATCTTTTGTCGTTGGTACAGAAAATGAACGTTGAGTTTTGAATAAAACTCTTGCATTCTTTACTCAACAAAATATTTTAATATATTTAATTTTAATATTGGATTTTGTATTTTTTTTAAAGAAATATTTTAACCAATTAACAAATAAAAATTTAGTAAATTAAATTAAAAATAATAAGAAAAGATTATTTTATGGTTAAAAATTGCATGCAATGTCAATAGAAAATATTATATAAAAACATCAAATTTTCAAAAAAAAAAAAAAATAAATAAATAAATAATAGTAACAATATTATTAAGTAATAATAATATTATGATATGGTTATACGATTTTGTAACGTAAATGTTTAAATACATATTCCAGATAGTTCAGATTATTATAGTAGATATTTTAAAACCAGTATGAAATGCAAGCACCAATCAGCAGGCAAAACACGTAATTTAGTTATTCAATTTCAACATAAAAGAAGAGAAAATAGAAGTTCGATATTAAAACATTAATTACTTATTAATAATGATTACTTATGATATAAGATTACTTTATAAATACATAGGCATGTTATGTGACAGATTATATATAGTTATATAAATTTATTATAATAGAATATATAGAGCTAAAATTCCAATAATAAAGTTTAACATTTAGAAAGTTATGTTTTTACATAATATTGAGCTGTTGTAAAAGTATTAAACCTTTTTAACAAAAACAATATTTTTTGTTTTTAGTTCAGTGCTTTATATTTTAAAAAAATAATTAACTATTTATTAAGAAAAAACTAAGTGATTTTCACAAATTTAATCTATTACAAAATCCTAATAGAGGAACTTATAATAAATATCTAAAAATACGTTAAGTGCACAAACTATCTGAAATTGTTAAATAAAACAAAACAGAGATATCATCAATCAATTAAACTTTAAATTATGCTGACATTTTTTTTATGGGCGCAATCGGTTTAAGACATGTCTTTCTAAGTAGTAATTTTAGTTTCAGGTGAGTATGGTACTTGGTTGTTGTTGGATTAAACGAACTACAATATTTATTGATAACATTTTTATCAAAAACTCTTCCAGTAGCTTGTATTTTATTAAAATTGGTAGTAGCATTCTTAAAACTAATATTATTACAAGTACATTCTTTAGGAGTGTTCAGAACCACATATATATACCGACACCAAAGTGTTACTCACCACCCTCAACTAAATCCCATCCATTTCCAATACATTCTTGTTCCTAAACAATCCTCTCCCCTCTTACTCTTTTTTTTACCTAACTATATCCTAACTCATCTATATGCATCTCTAATTCCTTTTATATTATCTGCTATATCGAACTCCACGGGTTTAAACAAAAACCTTTAACTGGGGTATATTAACAACAATATTGGTGAAAGATATGAAATTGAATCCAACTAATAAATCCAATTAATCCAACTAATTTTTTGTGTAGAACTGCTTCTTATTATTAGTTACTCATTGAAATCATATTTCAACAAAACGATGTAATTATTTTCACTACTTTCAATAATCTTTAGCGAATCCAATTGTTAAAGAGAATTTTGTTTTAATTTTTTTTTCGTGAATCTAAATTAAAAGCTATACAATACTGTCTAGAAGTAAATTCAATATATTTAGTTACTAAAGCAAAAAAAAAAATCCGTAGCAATTAACATTGATAACATGTAATAATCAACCAATGTACTTACGTACATCATAATAACTCAGCTATTATTTCAATTTATAAAATTTTATCATCTCTTCATAATCTCCACATTGCAATTAGTATAAAATAGATCAGATTAATATATCAAATTGTATGCACGTGAATCTCAATAAAATTTAAAAGGCCTAATACTTTACCAAATACCCAATGTTTTAATTTATCTCACAATAAAATTAATTGAATTTCTTTACCTGATGAGTTGGTACTTTATGTTGACGCGCAAATTGTAATGCAGATTGATCAAGCATATCCCATGATTTCTGTCTACGTGATAGCGGCATAATAAATGGCTAAATAGAAAATGTATGTATAACTAAATCTGCTACTTTTACATATGGTACTCACATTATGTCCATTTGCAGCAATTTCACCATTTTCCATATCAGCAGGCCAGCGTGGTAGAACATGTTTTACATGACAACGCGAACGTACCTCATCGGAAACAGCCACAAGAGCCGTTAAATAAGCAACGCTCTCAGGTGTAACTTCAAATTTATCACGTCCTGCTGGTTGCGCTATGATATTAAGTAACATGGTTAGCACGCGTACAGTGCGTGAGACGGTAGCTGCTGTGGGCGATCTAAAACCCTGTTCAGTTTAGATATTTTTAATACAAAACAACAGTGAATATTATATTTTCGAAATATAAACCTTTATCAAATGTCCAACAAGGGCAAAATGGAAATTGCTGCGGAAAGATAAACCAACCGCATGATCTAATTGCTTGAAATGCCATTCGAGCTTTTCTCGTGCATTCATCATTACATCTGCTATATTAACATGATCAAAACAACCTTGTGATTTAACAGTATGCAAATTTTGTTCCAATAAAGCTAATCCAGCGCTATAGAGATCAGTTTCGTCTAATTGTAAAACTGATATTGCTACCCAGAAGAGTGCACGATGTATAGGAGATTCCTATATTATTGAGGGGAACATATAATTAGTACAATAATATAATAAATGTTAATTTTTAGCTTACAGGACGTAGTAGTGGTTGTATGCGTGTCAAACACATAACCAAAGCTTCAATTAATATAATATCGTTAAACGAATCCAATGTTTTAACTAATATACGTAACAATTGTTTAACGTCATGGTCAGTAACACTTTTACTTATACAACCGAATACAATTAGTGCTCTTGGTTGCAAAGCTGGATTATAGCTAAAAGCAAAATTTCTTGCTAGTGATGTCCAGGTTTCTAGCCATTCACAATCAGGCACATCTTGCTTACAAGCTTCCATAACTTCAGAAAGTGCATCCGCAATTATTTCTAGTGAGGTTAGTGAAAAACGTTCACGGTCGGCGGGTAGCGGTTGTGTCACGCGCTCATTGCCTAGCCACTTATCTGGTGGATGCCGGCAGCTAGAGCGAAAAGCAGTAACTGCTGCAGATTTCACTTTGCTAATGCCGAATAGTAAATAGAATTTTGATAGAGAAAATTCATCAAGTGAAAGTCGTAGAACACGCTGAGCTTCTTCAGAAAATGATGGGTTCGTACAGGTACAAAGTGAATGTATAACATTTACAACAAGTCCATGTGTGGAGGCTCGCATTGACAATGACCCTGAGCATACCTGTAATATAATTGTGCATGTCATTGCTGTGTACGTTTGGAATAATATATAAATGAAACATACCAGAAATGTTATTATGTGAAACAAATTAGGCAATTGTGTTGCCACATCCAAACAATTGTTAAATGACAACATAAGTAAATAGCGACTTAAAATAGCAATATCATCCCACATCATATGCTGTTCCAGGTACTGTGTTGGATTTGCGCAAGTTTTGTCCATTACACGGCACATGCGTGTAATCACCTTTTTCGACACTAACTGCACATTAGCCGATGCCAAAGCAACAGCTGTGTCAGCCATAATTTCAACTTGCGGTGTGCCTAAACCATATGTAATTGATTTGTGTAGGAAATTATCTAACACCATATCAATTAATTCCGGTATTTGTCCTATTGAACCCCAAATTTTAGCTTGAACCGATGGGTACATTTCTTTTTGTTCAATAGTGAGGCAAATCAATTTATCTAAAATCTGTGAGACTTTAATCTTTTTGGCTTCATCATTTGATTTACAAAATTTAACTAAATTCTTTAGCCAAGGTGTCATGTACTCCAAGCACAAATGTTTCAATTCAATTGTGCTACGTTGAAAACCTTGTATCGATTCTTCTAAAAATTCCAGTGTCAAATGTGGCTCATTTGTAGCCAACTTTTCGCTTACAGATTTTATGAATATGGTATTATTTGAAGGTATGCAAAGTCCTTGCGTTTCTAAGAGCTGTCCTTCAATTTTCAAATCAAATGTTGCTGTCAGCGCACAAAGCAAATTGTAAGCAGCAGTTCTCAAGTTTGGATCTGATGAACCTAAGTTTAATAAAGCCATATTTAATAGCGTACCAGGCACATCCTTAGGTCGTATTTTTTGATGTACTATAACAGAATCGGGCTGACTTAATTCCCATCGATTGCGGATATGTATTATAGCTTGTACAATGTTATCGCAATCATTGTGTATAAAACTGAGTTGCCCACTCTCATTTGCTATTGAGAGCGTAAACTGGTTATCATCTACAAGGCAAACTTCTTCGATTTCCGACGCATAATAAACATCATTCAACAGTACAGAATGTGCCAGCACTTTTGTTTTCTCAGCAGAAGTAATTTGTAATGCGGTGGGACCAACTTTAATAGAAACTTTTGTGTCTTTGTGACTTAGTTTTAGTGCATTATTAAACACTTTGAGATCTTCATCCAAAGAAAGCGTAGCACCTGGTAGTTTTTGGTGTTCAGCTTCAATATATTCAGTCAATTTGTTTGGTGATTCAAGGAATATTAAATTTCGATTACCCTGAAAATAGAATATTTTTTTATAATTTTTTATTTCTTATACAAATTGCTTATAATACCTTTAACGGTGCTAAGATTCTATCGTGAAATTTTGTGTATTCTCTCACCCATGAGTTGCAATTATAAATATAAACTGCATGTACATTTTCATAGGTGACGGCTGGCATTACATAAAACCACTTCTGTAGGAATTCAGTACGAAAACGATTATCCGAACAAGTATGCGTAAAGTCTATGACTACTTCATATGGAGAATGGCAGAATGGTTTTAACGTAAGTATGACATGATAGATCAGTAAATCGCCATTTGTTTCACCAATTCTATAAGTTGTATTAGAATTTAAATTATATTAAAAAACAATTCTATATAAAATGTGTACTAACAATTATATGCATTGAAATATAAAAGTTATATGCATATTATAACTAAGCTTACATTTAAGTAAATCCAAAAATTGTTTATTATTTTAATGATTGTAGTTTTTTTATTGTCTTCTTATTGGTATTATGTAGGAAACTAAATAAAATTCATTTAGAAAAATGAATCGACTTTCTATACTATGGTCTTTGAGACTTATTTATAGCCATTATTAGAAGCTGACAAAAAATAAAAAAATAGAAAACGACAAGATAGTCATATATCTGCTGAAAGCTATCAAATTGTCATATTTGATATTGTGTGAAGTGTTATTTGCGGTCCTAGAGATTCGAAAAAAGAACTTCAGATGAAATAAAAGAAAATTAATAGGTTATAGGTCAAGGATGTCGTTCGAATTTAAATTAAACGTGGATGGCTATTTAAAAAAGTATAGAACAATATTTGAATTTTTTTCATTTTTCGTTTTTCATTTTTAGTTATTTGAAGTTAATTTAATTTTTAGTCGCAATCACATTTCAATCTGTACATTGGATATCATGATAAAAGATTTGGATCCAGTGATAATAAGCTCTGAAGACGTTGAAGAAACATTATCTTAATTAACAAATTGGCTTACATAATCTTGTTCTATATTTTTTTATTTATGGAAGCTTTATAAAAATTTCCTTGACAATAACAAAATTAGGAAGACATTTAGATTTCTGCTTATAAAGTTTAATTGTTTCCAAATTGATGCTATTATTTGCTAAAATATTTTTATATACATATCTTAAACAAAGATTCTATAAAAATGGTATTTCTAATCAGTGATCAATCTTTTATTGATTTACTTACTTATAGCGTCTGGCAATATAATAAAATACTGGATATCCTAGTTTACTTGTTCCAGCTTGGTAAAAAATATTCATTGTTTTCAAAGTTTTAAATTCTTCTTTTTCATGCATCTGATGTTTAACCATAATTTCCTCAAAATTTGTAGACGACATATCGATAGAGCTCCAACGAGCATAAGATGAGAACATTATGCTGGAAAAATAAACAATAAACAGTATTCAATTTATGGATTTATTTTCAAACCGCACTGTTTTAAAATAGTTACGTATATTGTATAAAGCTGATGTGAATAATGTATAAAAAATATAATTTTATATTTATTGGATGAATTTTAAATACAATGTTGACAATATGTAATGAATAAAATATGTTGAAATAAATGTAATAAAATAAAATACATATTTTCAACTGTTTAAATAAACCTTACACAATGTCAATATCGAATATTTTATTTAAATTCGATTATTGCAACTGAAACAAATAAAAACTTACTGTGAGTCTACTGGCTTATGTTCTGGAGGTCCCAAGTATGCTAATAGTGTAGCCATTTTATCGAAAGGTCTTCTACCTACAGCTTTGTGATCACGACTACTCGACAAATAATCACCAATCTTTTCCTGATGTGAATATAACAAACGGTGTACTGCTAGTACGTTAGCATCTGAAATAAAACCATGTGTGCTATGTGAAATGTTTTGGTCCACAGTTTCACAGTCACACGCAATAGATATAAAAAATAAACGTCCTGCTTCAAACTGTAATTGCACAAAGTCGTTAAAGCAAAGCATATGCTGTTCCTTTGAGAATACAACATGATTAGCTATATTTTGTAATATTTTCGACATGAGCATAAGACCACGTTTAACAGAACTTGGGACTTGCTTGTTGACTATACCTTGTTCCTGTGGAGAAACTGAAAGGCAGCAATGCATATTAAATTGGAAGTGTTATTAAAATTTTGTTAAAATTTCAACCATACCTATGGCAGGATTTATGAAACGTAAAAATATGACGGTGCCAATAGCACCAACATTATTTTGTAATATACTGGGAAAACGCTTGCTTAATACTTGATATAAACAATGGCACATAGAACGTAGTTGTGGTGGAAATCTTAGAAGAGAATTAACAATAGTTAGAAAGACTTCTTCTGTTAAAGCAATTAAATTTTTGCGGTTCTCTTCCAGATCTTCATTTGGTTCCAATCTATTTTTAATTACGAATTTCTTATTAAATATATTTTCTGTTATAATTTAAAGTTTTACATACCTCGCTGGATCTACTTCAAAACTTTGATTAGGTTTATCCAACAGTGGATTAATAAGTGGTTCCAATAAGCTTTGTAAATAGCTGGCGCCATAAATTTTAAAACAATACGCCATGATTTTACTTCCTAAAGAATTCCCACGGAACAGCGTTTGCATACAATCTGATAGCTCAACTTCACGATAAAACATATTCCATAATAATGGTGATAGCATATGTTTTGCATCGAACACTGTGACCAAAACACGTGCTAATTCGTCCATATGTGAAGTACTTACTACATTTGCTAATGCCATAGCAATGGGTATTTCGCCCTTGTCGCTTATCATTGTAAGCAACTGCACAAGCTGTTCAAAACGATCAGCTAACACTGTTTCGGCAAGTGTATTAAATTCAGTGCCTTGTTGTAGAATTTGAGTAAGCACTTCCATAAAAGCTGCTCTTGTTTGCAGATCGGGATTATAACCCAAATCAATAGAATGCATTAAACCAGAGTCTATATTTGCACCAAGCAAATTTGACATAGCCTGTATGGTTGCGTAACGTAAAGCAGTTAATTTGCCAGCAGCCATACGTGGACGTGGTGGTAATAGAGGTGGATTATTAAGCTCTTTTTCCGCTTCAGAACTGTCGATGCAATCGTTCAGTAAATTCATGAAAAGCGTAAAGTATCTATGAAATGGAAAAGTGAGAATAGAAATGTTGTTCGTTTGTGTAAATTTAATAAAAATTTACTTAAGAAACAATGCACTCTTAGCATCCATCAAATCACCACGATCTGACTCTTCTGGTTGTAGTGGTAAGCCACGTAGGAGAGCAGCAACAGCTTCCATGCAAGCTTGATCCAAATCGCGAAATATGTTTGATGTACTAAATTAACAATTATGTAATTTGGTATGAGCTATTTACTTTAAATTGCTTACTTTGTTATTAGATTAGCATCTGCTGAACTTGGTGGTGCTATTTGATGTGATGTGCCCATAACCCAATCAGTTAAATATTCGACTAACTTATTACGAAATTTCATTTCTTGCCGAAAAGCAAGATCATCACGTCGATTCATCATTACTTCCACTAGTTGACAGAGTTTTGTTTTAATACGTATCGCATATACTGTCATGTCCAAATGACGCACGTAACGGACTATGCCTAACATCATGCCTTCAATACTTGTAACACCTAAGTGCTCAGAATATGAAGATGGTTGTTCGTTGTTATGGTCTTTATTGGGTTTTGGATCCAAAATTGATTTCATTATGTAAATAGTATGTTCGATGAATTGCGTATTGATTTCAGTTACATTAACTTGACCTTGTTGATCAAAAAATTTCTCTACTATGGCACGTATTTGATCAAAAAGTATAGGATAGAGTTGTGAGGACATTTCTTCACCAAGTAGTTCCTTCACATTTTTCTGTATATTTAAACCAATTTTTTCATTACTACAAACCAGCAAACGTAAAAGTTGTCCAATGAATCTAAATAAAACTCTCTTTTTATCGAGATACAAAAAACAAAATCAGTTTATTGTTACTTACTGTGTTACAGAGCAATATTGTACGTCCTGTTGTGGTGCTTGTGACATAGTAGTTAAGGACATTGTGCTTGGCTGCAAAGAGCCTCGTCCAGAGCTTGAGCTAGAAACTGAATATAAAGAATTTAGTCCTAAAGAACCCAAAGAAGTGTTATTTTGAGATTGTAGTGTTTGTCTGCCAGTGGAGCATTTATGTAAACAAACTCCGCCAAGAGCTAGCAAAAACCAAGTCATATTAGCCCATTCATTTATTTGCTCTTCTAAATCATGCTCAGAGCTTTGATGACTGGCACGTCGTTTACCGACGCCACGATGAAAAAGCTCTGCTTGTGCATCTTCTGTTTTGTACTTTGGATATGTTTGCAATACTTTACTAATTAACTCCCAATTTCTAAAAGTTTCCTCCCAAGCTGGCTGCACACCATGTACACAATGTTCAATTTTACGTAAAACAGTCATTATACGCTTTTGCAAAGCTAATCGATCTGCAAGAGTTTAAATAAATGAACAAATCTCGATTGGATATTAACTTGAACTTGATTTCACTTACTTAACATATTTCCTTGATTATTTTCATAAAAACAAATGCGAGTATCTGTTGAAAATTATAAAGACTATTTTAGAACTGAATTTTTATGATATTTAAAATCTTACATGACGATAACTGAGTCAATTCTTGATAAATATGAATATTTGGCATTATTAAATTAACATTCACATCATCTGGTCCACAACAAATTTCTGCTTCTTCGCATAGCAAACCAATACATGATAAAGAAGTTAATACAGCGTCCAGATCCACTGACCAAAGATACATAAAGAATACCACTTCCATTTTAATGTGGGCCTGTTTGCATATAGCTATTTGACTGCCAACATGTGCATAATCTTTATGGCGTTGTAGGAAAGTATTACGACAGATAAGTATCTCACGTAACCATTTTAAAACATCAGTATAATTGGCAATGTGATGTTGTATTAATTTTTGGGATATAGAATATAAAACTTGTGAACTGACATCCCAAAATGTGTTGATGGGTGCTTCAGGATTCCAAACTTCAATTTTTTCTGGTGAATGCAAAGCAAGCAATGCCTCCATAGCTTCTTGGGCTACATCTGGCATAGTCGGTTGATGCACAAGACTTACAAGACCATTTATCAATTCCAGTGTTGAACTTTGTACTTCATGTGCTACTTTACCCTGGGTCTATACAAGAAAAATTATATTAAATTAAAATTATAATTTAAAAGAAATTTATAATTGTATATAATATTTGCTTACATTAAGTAGTAGTGTCGGATCTGCATGTATAAGGCGTACTAGCATAAGTAAAAGCATTTTATGTGCAGGTCCTTCCTCTGCACGTGACAAACCTTTTTGCGTATCTTTTGACTTCAAGGTAAGGGAAGTTATCATGCGTAGTGGTGTGTGTGCTATATAACCTTGTGTAGCTTTATTTAAGGTATCGGTGAAGAGTCCACGTAATTCAGCTGAACGATAGTGTACCACATCTGTTTGTGGCCACCAAGGTAGACGTGGCTGGTTTACAATGCGAAATGGATTTTTGTGCTGCAAGCGAAAATCTACATAAATGTGGGCTAAGCTGTAAATAAAAAACAAAAAAAAAAAAAAATTATAAAAAAATCAAGTTATTAGTACTCTCTTTTTGTTAAATTTACTGATATCATTTACCGCAAAAGTGAGCAGACTATAACAAAATGATAAGCTTGTGGAGAAGATAGGTTTAGGCAAACCTTGAGCACTTCAATATTGTGTGGACTAAGACGAAAAGATGACACCCAACAATCAATCATCAATTCTATATCTGCAAAATTATAGCCCTGTCCTCGTGAAAAAGGTTTTACTGGATTGAATAGTAAAGCTTTAAGATCGTTAATTACATATTGTACTAATTTAAATACGACATTATTTGAATCATTATTATTGATGTAGGTTGCAGCTTTGCACAGTTTTACACAGGCAATAGCTGACGATTCAGTAACTTGTTTCGATGGTGAATGTGGACCAAGGCCGCGTTTAACGCTTTCGATGAATTGTTTAGCTGAAAAATCTTTATCACGTGAGGTAGATTGTACTTTTGATTGTACTTTTTCTTTTTCTTTATCCTTTTCCTTCTCTTTTTCTTTTTCCGATTGTTGTAGCTCATTCACAGTTGCTTCCAAACAAGGCTGAAATACATATATATCATTTATATGTTTAAATACATTTAGATAATAAAACTCACTGGATTAAGTATGAGTAAAAGCATTTGCAGAGGCCAAACAGTAGTTTTGCTTTTTTTATTTTCTAGTTTATAAAATTCCACAAAGTCTAACAGCGGCTCCCAGCAACTGTAAGAAAATTAAAAATGCATTTAAAACACTGTTTAATAGATAAACGAAAATTACGTTTTTAGAAGCAAACTGTAACTGTTTTTTTAATGAAATGCGTATCATTACGAAATAAAAAATGTACTTACGTAGATATATCCCGATTTACACCACGCTGTAAATCTTGAAACTCCTGAGGATGATACTCAATCCAATTCCAAATAGCTTTTTCTATAGAATGCAACAAAATCAAAGGTGGTGCACGCTTGGAACGGAATTTCGTTATTGTTTCTAAATAAGTAAGAGAAAATTTTATTTTAAATTACTTCCTAAAATTTAGTATTCTCAGCAATATACCTTGTAAAAGTTTCGTTAACTTGCTCATATCCATGTCTATATGCTGTATGAGTTCAATGTCACTATAATCAGGGCTTTCTTCTGAGCATGCTGTTAACTCTTGAATGCGCGCTGATATCCGATTAAATACTGCTGAAAAGTGATTTTGCGAAAGTGCAAATAACACTTTTGAAGCCAGAGCTTTAAGTTGACAAGCATTGGAATTGTTGTCATTTTGCACATCAACAAATTGTGTGATCTCACGTAGCAGCAATTTTACATTCATTGCCTCCTCGAAGCGTGCTGTATCTTTAGTTTGATTCGCGAGACAGCGTTCCAAGGTAGTTAGTATTATAACTAGAGAATCGAAATAGTACCGTTCAGGTTCATGTCTGGTTTGTAGTGCCTAAAAATAAACATTTTTAAAATAGTTATGCATGAGTTCACTTCTTTTAGTATTAATAAATATTCAGTGAATCTGAATAAAAAACTTTGAAACGTTGGCGATATATGTATATATAATAACTATATAAAATATAAATATAAAACACCAACTAAAAAGTATTTATTCAAAATTACAGAACCTTTTATTAACACAATTGAACCTATTTTTTTTTTGTTTCCCAAATATTATAAATTAATTATAAACTCACCGCTTCATTAACACGCTGCAGCATTTTTGTTAAACCAGATATAACCAATGAGAAACGGTAGCGGGATATTTGTATTAGGCATGCTCCTAACTGATCCTGGCTTATACGCGCTTGAGTGCCATAGGAACCTATTTTGTTTGGCAGCTATAAAAAAAATCAAAAATATAAAATGTTAACAATATTCAAAAACCATTATAGCAATAAGCTGTTGTTAACTGGGTCAAGCGCCGCTAACTTGACCTATTCACCACTCAATAAAAGTTTGTTTACAAGCACAAAAAAATTTCCCAAAACAAGTTCGTAACACTGACATTAACGCAAAAACAAATGCCAACCGACTTTATGCATTCATTCATAAGTTGCCGGTTTCATTCATAAATTCCCAAACACATGTTGCACATTGTAAACAAGAACATAAACAACAATTTCCCAAAATAAAAATGTTTTACTGCCATTTCACCCGCACATTTTTTTATTCACTCGATCAAAGAGGAAATTTTCGCAATCGATAAGGAAATTTTCGGAAAAAATTTTTTTCGTTTGTACATACAAATTGGGTGTATCAAAATTTTCAATTCATGTTTTACGTTTACCTGATCTTCAAAACGTGCCAAAAGTGCATTTGCCCACTCGCCCGGCTTTTGGGTCCCCATTTTTAAGTAGTTTTATTAATTAATTTTTAATAAATACTGCATTTTTTATATAAATTTACGCAACTCTACCGATTTCCAACCAACGCAACTACAGAAAATTTTCACTTTGCGAAGTTTGTTGGGAAATGTATAGGACATTTATTTTGACAATTGCTTTCCTATGTACAGCGGTTGTTAATACGCCTTAAATTTAAATTATTTTATAACTGGTTTTTTTTACATTTTTGCAATAAATTTTATATCGAAAACTTATTATGCTATACATATTAATAGTTATAAATGTAATAATTAAAGAGAATTAATTGATATTCATTTTAAGTATAACTTGTGTTAATATTTGTCATATTTCAAAATTATATCGAACACAATGGATACATATATTTTTTATTTACAAAATGTTCAAATATTGTTTTCATTATTAAATTGATTTTTTAAAATTGATTTCGTTTCAATATTAATATTTCAAGCAAAAACCACACAACTATAGAAAACGAAATTAGCCATGTTAACTCTGTTCGCACTCTTTTTCAATAAAAGTCAAATATAGTTGCCTTGAACTAAGAATAAAATTTTATTTTATTTTCGAGACAGACAATACGCTTTGAAATATAAAGCTGTAATTAATATTTAAGTTTTAAATTTTTTTAATATTGTAATTGCAATATTTATTATGACAATGGTTCTTTTTTATTTAAATTTTATGATAAGTGGAATATATATTATAAATTCATATATTATATATTGAATATTGCATAGTATGTAGAAATTTCTATATGTTAATAGAGAATGATATCACTCATTAAGTACATAAAAAAATTGTAGTGATGAAGGAGGATAAAAGTCAATCAGGATACCAATAGATTTGTCTCAAAGCTGGTTCTAGCTGCTTATACTATGCGAAGAAATTATATGATTATAATGATTTTCAGTACATATATATATATGTGTTCCCAACTTTTAAATGATTTTTCGTAGCATCTTTGTTTACAGTTCTGTCAAATTATTTTGATATCTTTGTTAGAGTTATTTTATTACCAGAATTATTTGTACTGAACTAAATAATATAAATAAATATTAGCCCGAAGCTAGGTATAATCATTTTTTTGTTTTCGTTTGTTATATTTAATTAAATATTTATTTTATAATTGTTAGACAGTTAAAAAAAATAGTTTGTTTTAATATATAATAAAAAGTTTGAAATTTTGAAATATTGTCTTATTGAAGAAAGCGATAAAAAGTGTAATCCACAAAATCCCTGAAACATCAAGTCTTATGTCCAAGAAACCAAAAAAAGTTTGCAATTTGCATTTCTGCAGGTAGTCACTTATCTAATAGTGCATTTTTTAAAATTACGCTTTTTGACACAAACCACATATTTTTTAAAGAATCTTTTTTGAATTTAGAAAGCTTTGGAATGCATTCTAAACTTCATCTCATTGTAGTTGGTAAATATTTCAGTTATATAGTTTTACAGACAAATTAAGTTTTTTGAATTTATCCTTTATCATTTAAAGAATATAATTGCTTCCTTCGAATCTAACTAATCTTCAATTCTCCATTAATTTAAAGATTTGATGATGAAAGATGAAAGAATTAAGTCATTCTTAATGTAAATTATTCACTACGTTTACGCGAGTCTTAAAATCACTTTTAAAACTGATTTTAAAATTTGTTCTTAGAGCGTTTACGCACAAAAATTAAAAGCACTTTTAAGGTAGCTGTCAATCAATCAGCTGTTTAACAGTAAACAGAAATGTTGATTTTAAACATTTTAAAATAAATAGAGTAAAACTACAAATTGTTTTACTTTTATTGCAAAAAAGAAATATAACCAAAATTGTAGAAAATAATAATGAAGCAACAATGCAGATTTTTAAAACATCTCGTAAAAAATTTACAAAATTACGAGAAATGCGATTGCAGCTCTTTAATAAAATGGCAATAAGTTCCGCTAATGAGGCTTTAATGAATGTAAATGTTTTTATAAAGTTTTTCACACATAAAATATTTAGAATGCATTTTTGTTTTTAGCTTCCACCACGAATAAGAACTTTTAGCAAAAGGAAGAGAAGTTCGGATTGGTGGGATGTTGAAGTTCTGTAGTTCTATGACGATGAACAATGGATTGTTGATTTTAGAGTGAATCGACAAATATTTTTCAGGCTTGTAGATTTACTTAAGGATAAAATGGCAACAGCAGAAAATACTTTCGTTGAAGGGTTGAATATTCCCAACCTGAACATATGTACAATCGACAAAATTTGTCGTCCGGACAACTTACGCGAGATCATATATGAGCGTACTTGGCGAGAAAATTTCCACTTCTACATAGAAGCAATTAAAAAAATAATGTAGAAAAAACCAATTTTAAATTAATTAATTTATAATTTTTTTTATAACTAACAATATAATATATATAATATAATATATTTATAACAATTTGTGCTTAATGACAAATTTAAATAATTGAAAATAATAAACTTAATTTAAACTAAACTAAAATGTTTTAAATATATAGTTATCATTACGGTAAAGTTAAGATTTTCAAATAGAGAATAAAAAATAAACAAGTTTAATTAATTTAGATTCTGGGATGCAATTAGGCTTTTTCTATATTTTTTGCCGTCTAACAATTTAATTATTTGTTTTTCTGCAAATATTTTAATTAAACATTCTTCCTCCTCTTTCATCCAATTTTTTCTTTTCATTTCCTTTTTCTCTATATTTTTAGTTATTTGGTTAGTGTTATTTGTAATAAAATTCAAATTATTTGTACCTATTTACTGTTAACAGCTGACAATTCAAACCTTAAACTGCTTTTAAGGTGTTTACGCAAAGATTAAAAGTGACATTTCTTACTAAAAGTGATGTTAAACTACATTTAGTAAGCTAAAAGTGCTTTTAAGCAAAATTCAATTTAGGGTGTTTACGCAATCTTAAAATCGATTTTAAGAGCCTTAAAACAACTTTTAAGGCTCGCGTAAACGTAGTGATTGTTTTGAATAGAGAGGTTTTTTTCTCGAATAGAAGTGAAATTGTAACAATAATAATTTATCTTTATTTTTTTAATTAAATAAGTTAGAAGAATTAAATATTTAATTAAATTAGAAATTATTTTAACTATAAAATTCAATTAAATCTTGTGTAGTACAAAATATACCAATTCGCTCTTAAAAACTATAGCATCTTCCTAGTTTTAAGGGATAGGAACAGAAAGTTGTAGAATTTAAATAAAAAATTAGTATATTTCTGTTTGAAAATTCTTATAGATAAATTTATGCAAGTTGAGCTGAAATTACGAATATGAGTAAAAGTTCTGAATTTCACTTGAGTGGTACTGTATCTAATTAACCTATCTAGCCAATTTAGCCTATTTGATTAACTCCTTAATTGTGCAACAATTAGTATAATTTTTTATATAAATTCACATTTCATATATATGAACAGTAAAATAGTTTCAAAGTAATTGTACTTTAAATCTAAGGAAATGAAAAATGCTAAATACCTTTTGCCTGACCAATACTAAATATTTTTTTGTTTTTCTTAAAATACTTGATAATAATATATAATAATAAAAATAATAATGTATATTTAAATAATAAAATATTATATTATATTTTCAGTAAATACATTGTTTTAATCATATTAAATATTTTTTTTTTAAAGCGCAGTTATATTTATTTTTTAAATTAGAAATTATAAAATTTTAAGAGCGTTCGCTCTACATTTTAAAAAATAGTTTTTGTACAGCGGATTGTGGTTCCCTGCAGCAGCTGTTTTGTTTGTGCTTAACATTTTTTATTTTGCTGTTATTCTTCAGATGCTGCTTCAACATGCTCATACAAAAGCAGGTGAAAAGTGGAGTAGATTTTTGAAAAAGCTTTTAAAGCTTGTGTTGCTCAAGTTAAATTCAGTTTCATTACAGCGTTTCACGAATTAAGTTGAAGTCGGAGTTTAAGTGAAGGCAGTGTTTAATACAAATTTTTTAAGTGTGTGAAAAGACTGAAAAGTAAGTCTCAAATTAAATTTATTTGTTTTCGACTGAATAAATTGGGGTTTCCTTGACGCATTTCAAATTAAGTGCACTACATACGTATATAAATATTGTAGTTGAATATACAAACATATATATTATTATTATAATTTGTAGTTGTTTTTGTATTATTGTTAGTGAGATCTGTTATTGTCCAAGCTGTTTTTAATTTTGATTTGTGTGCGTGTGATTATGATTATTTTCGTGTTTAGTACTTTTGTATTGCAAGTAATTTGTGATTGACCGACCGGTTTTAACGGACCTTATATAGCATTTAATATATATACATATAAATTATATAATTGCAATAAAGTCTTTTTATAGATTATATACTGATATTCAGTTTATAATTGTGCAGTTCAATATGTATATGTATATACATTATATAAAAATCAACTAATTAGCATTATTTATACAATATTTTAAAAATAATTTGTTTATTTAAAATTTTATTAAAATAAAATTAATAATTAAGTTAATAATTAAAGTTAATAATTAGTGTTTTCTGAATAATTTTATTAAATAATTATTAAGAAAATATTGTCTTTATATAATTAAAATTTGAATTTCAATATTTTTGTATGAAAATAATTATTTGAATAATTTTAATTAAACAATCGAAAAAATAATTAACCTTATAACGTAATATCAAAATAATAAGCCAATTATAATATAATATTAATTTTATATAAAATTATATTAAAAAGATTTTTTTTATAACTATATTTTGTAATAAAGTCATTTATTTGTTAAAAAAAAGTACTCTCAAGGAAATATTTAATTTAATTGCAGTTAGTTAGTTTACATGTATAAACGATTACTTAATCAATTAATAAATCAGTGTATTGTGCAATAGCCATTAACATTGAGATAGACTATTTGAGGCTTATCAGTTTCAATTGACATTTGACTGTATCTGCTGCTTATGAATAATTCCGAGTAATATTTTATAAATACATTTTTTTTAGCTTCCCAGTAAAGAAAATAAATAAAGAGTACAAGAAATTTAATTGTGTTGTAATTATTTGTGGCTATCTTAATTGTTTTCGTATCCGTATCGAATAAGAAGCGCTTAAATGTGTGAAGGGAAAATCCCAAAGCCCAGTATTTGGGCTTTTAATAAGAAGAAGTTGACTGTTGTGAATTGTGACTGTTTATTTTTTTTATGACATGATCAAGTAGTTTTTAATCAACAGGTTTTCTATCCAGTTTTCTTTTTAAGTGACTTCTGTTGACAAATGACAAAATATATTTTTTATATAAAAAATTGGACACATATAATATTATAAATGCAAATGTTAATTTTGTAGCGTGAGACTACTGAATAAATTATTGATTTGTTTTTATCGTAAAGTTTGTAATACACTTTTTTTTATTAAGTATTACTTACAATTTTCCGAATCAATTAATGAAATTTAAAGCAATGAATGAATACTAAAAATCTCAGATTTATTGATAACGTGCTGATACATAAAAACAAAAGTATATATTATATTCATAAAAAAAATTATTCTTTAAAAAATTATTAGATTTTTCTAGAATAATTTATTTATTTTTCCAAACAGGTCGTATGTCAAGTGCTTTTAAATATATGAATTAAATTTATTAATATGTTTAAAATAGAATAAAAATAAAAAAAAACGAACTAATTCTGCAGACTTCAGCTTTATTCAAATATTAGTTTTTCGATGTTAAAGGTGATATAAATAAATGTATATAAATATAGAAATCTAAGGCACACAGTAATTTTGTATAAACATTACAATTAATTTTCTTTATATTTAAGTTTTAATCTGGCTATATTAACAAAATATCATTTTCATAAAAGACGGAAAAATAAATTTTCTTTATGTTTAAATTTTATTATGTTGGGGCTAGTTGAGTTATTCAGTTGAGCACTTTTACTCTCTATTAACTGCGAGATTTCTTCATAACCCCTCTCTATGCCTTGACTGGATTATTGTTTATCACTTCTTCATTCTAAGCAATAACTGACCTCAGATCTGCATACCTTCCCGAGTAGCCTGTAACCGTTCTGAGATTCGATAACGCGGTGTTGTCGAAAGCCTGTTAGTTATTTTATGCAAATAGTTTCAAGGCCCCATCCTATATTTATTTTTTGATCAGATCAATCTTGAGGTTCCTGAGGATGTCATTCGTCGTAATGTACCATGACACCTTGAATAGTCTTTTCAGAGTCTGGCTTTGTGGAATTTCTAGCTGACGAATAGTAGTGTTTGAGGTCTTCATGAACGCCACACACCCATATAGAAGTGACGGTAATTTTGTATAAGGATTACAATAAATTTTCTTTATATTTAAATATTAGTCTGTCAAGAATTACAAAAAATCACCTTGCCAACAGATAGATGAAGAAATAAGTGAATAGAATGGGTGGACCAACATCCATCTCATTTTTGAGTTATTGAAGTTCAAATGACTAAAGGCGAATGCATAGGTGATATTAATGCCCGAGCCTTAGCATATTTTTTACATATCCAGTTTTTTTAAATTTCTTCAAACACAATTTTGCATACAGTGTTCTTAGCTAAACGATTATGCCTAATGAACGCAATTTGCCTATTCAAGAATCACGTTTCTTGAAGTGATTGCTATAATTTTAGTACATTCTAAACTATTTATTTTCTGAAACACTTAATAGTTATGATCTAAGAGTCGATGTTCCGCGTTCGTAGACTTTGATTTTTAGATAGAATTTTGAGTATATACTGGAAGAGGTTTATAAGAGAAATTGGAGCAATTTGTTGATAGCTTTCTCACTTATTGCTGCAAATGCAGTGTCATCTATGATTTAGTACTATTTCCAGTTATTATTGATATTGCATTATAAAATTCTTTAACGTCTACTAAGAACTGGTTATAGTACTGATCTTTGAGCTTTATATGGACTTTATTAGAAAAACTTAATTTTTGTTGTACTCACTCGTAAAGTTAATATTCTTACCATAGTTTATATGCAGTTATATACATAAAATAGTTAAATAATAAAACATTTACTAGTACACTATATATGAATTTCGTTATTCTATATATCCATATATATAATCCATATATATATTACTTGTAAATGTTTTATTATTTTAATGAAATATAATTTAAAACAACCAATTGAAAAGTAAACTTTTGCATTTTAGTCATGCATGCATTTAGTGCTTTATATTTTAAAAATATTTATTTTAGCATTTCCTATTTTACGTTTTATATTTACTTTTTGTCAGTGGCGTGTAGATTCATTTAACAGTGTTTTTATTTTTTTGAAAACCAATTAAAAGTTTATATAAAAATATATAAATAAAAAAAAACTTTATTATAAGTATTGTAAATTGATGAAAAAGATTTTAATACACGAATTTTAATACAGCGAAACTCCCCTTGTATACGTTATTAAGTGTTTTGTATAAACTTATTTTAGAGAATATTTAAATTTTAATTATTATTGCTTATAAAGTTACTTTATTTATGCATAAAGTAATTTTTCAGCAATTTGAGCGCAAAAACTATTAAGTGCAAATTATATATAACTATATAATGATAAAAATTGTATATGTGTATTTTTATAATCTTGTATCCGTATTGTCAAACAAGGATATCCGTATGATGCTTTTATACTTTATAAGAGGTCTGGCTTTTATTATTGTGAAATAGCTAAGCAAAAAATAGTATGGGGAAGAACAGATTCCCGAACTATAGGATACTTAAAATTATTTGTTTATTATATATTATCTATAATTAATATTCTTATTGAATATATTTTATTTCATTATCTTGTATTTCAAGAAATTTTCTTGTGTTTTATTTTCTTTTTTTATTTCTACGTGGATAAACTGTGTTCTCTGATAGTGGTAGTGGTTAATGACTTTTTACCAAAATAGATTTCATTATAAGAGTACACCTTATTTAAGTACCTTATTTACTCAATGCCACCAACATTCTTCGATGAGTTTATAATCATTGATAAAGAAGGTATTTTTAAGTGCTTGATCTTGGTTTTTTTTTGTAATTCACGTTCCTTGATTTCTCTTGAAATACTTAAATTATTTGTTTAAAAATAAAATTAAATTGTTCTGATAAGTAATAAACAATATTATTTTCATTATAAAATAATAAAGAAAAATTTAGTTTTATTAAATGGAAAGTATTCATTAAAACTATACTGTAAAAGTTTTCAATATTTTAGTCTCAAATAATTAAATAAAATGTTTTTTCATTAAATGAATTCGTAGAATAATAATCGGAATGTCTGTTTTGAAGCTGGGTTTTAAGAAAACTCTTGATTTGAAGAATTTTTAGTTGTAACTAATATGTTAAATAATTAATAATAAAGTGTTCGTTCCTAGTAAATTATGACAGTTAGGTCATAATGCCTTGTTTTCACTATGTTATTTTAAACGACAATTATAATTGACTGGTGTGTCAAATGCGTTTTCATTACATGACTAGAATGCGAATATGACATCATATGCCTACCCGTTTTCATTATACTGACAATATATGACATTGAAAATGACATAGTGAAAACCAGGCATAAGATATATAATTGATTCTTCTTACAAAGTGCGTGTAGTCGAAGTAACTTCAAGTAACTCCTTTTCTCTGCACGCGCTACTAATAGTAGATTTTAAAAGTTGTGGTTTACACGTTACTCTTACTTTCTTCTATAAAATTCTATCGATGGTTTTTGGTTTATTACTTAGTGCCATTAATCTTTGGTATATACTTATGTTATATTGTCAATCTAAAAAATCTATTGAAAATGAAAATATTACCAATTTGTAAGTAAATTACTTGTTGATTTTTTTTTAATCTGGGTAAATAAATTGCTTTAGTATTTCATTTCTATAGTTGGTTCTTATTCAGTGCTTCGCAAATAAAATTTGTGCGATAAGGTGTCACTTAACTGTCAGAGGGCGTCCGTTTCTTTTTATTTGGGAAAACACTGCAATTTATTTAAATTA